TATATATATATATAAAAAGCCCTAAAGATGCATAGAAACATAAGATGATGGTTGGTCATTAGTAAAGTACAGATGACAGAGTATGATATACACAAACGTGCATGCATGGGCTACTAGACAAAGCTTCAAAAGAAGTTCCAAAAGGCCAAGAAGAAGGTGAAAAAGCAGAGCCACTGGTGGCAATTTTATGTAACATGCTTTTAATCTAAATAAGTGTGTTGCCTAATAAATGTGTTGAATGTTAGTAGCGCTGGTACTTCACTATGTATATGTTATCCCAAGCCTGGTTCACTAAGCAGAGGTGGTCATCTCTGCAAGCATGGTGTTCGGATGTAATCTAAGTACCCTTGGATGTTTACCTTAACATACTTATCTAATTTTTAGTGATATACATGGGAGTTTTTTTCACATGTATCACATATACAGAGGGATCTGTTAATGGACACTAAACAGATCGAGAATCACTTATACGAATAGACAGGTGAAAATGGGAGTGATTTATGTACACATTGGAGTACATGGGTAGTTGAATCGATGGTTGTGGTAACAGGATATTTTCATGTGTTTTGTGGCCATGGGATATGGAGAGGTATGGATTAGGGACTGCTATATACTAAGCCAAATATGATTCACATCATTAGGTGTCCCGTGGAGGGATTATTCCCTATCGGCCCTAATGTAGGAAGTTCCGGGTAATATATTTTTGAAAAAGAGAATCCCTAAGGTAATTATATTTAGGATAATAATGGTAGTTGAAGTTCAAAAGCTATGTTGAAAATGAGGAACTCTCAGGCTAATATACACTGTATTGCACAGAGTCATAACCTCAACCCGATAGAACACCTTCGGGATGAATTAGAGCGGAGACTGTGAGCCAGACCTTCTCGTCCAACATCAGTACCTGACCTCACAAATGCGCTTCTGGAAGAATAGTCAAACATTCCCATAGACACACTTCTAAACCTTGTGGACAGCCATCCCAGAAGAGTTGAAGCTGTTATGGTGGCAAAGGGTGGGCCAACTCAATATTGAACGCTACGGACTAAGACTGGGATGCCCTTAAAGTTCATTTGCATGTAAAGGCAGGCATCCCAATATTTTTGGCAATACAGGCGGTCCCCGGGTTACGGACGTCCGACTTACGGACAATCCGTACTTACGAACGGGGTCCACAGTTCTCCTAAATGTACCGGCAGACGCCTGTACATTTAGGAGAACTGTGGCTGCAGCGGCCTATGTCCTTTCAAATCCCCGCTGCTCTCCGCACCTGTGTTGGCGGAGGCAGCGGGGACACAGACCGCTGCATACCGCCGATGCCCCACTTACCTCCGCTGATGTGCCGGCTTCCTCTTCAGCCGTTCCGTCTGCTTCCCCGGTCCGGACGATCCTCCAGTCTCCTGGTCCGGCCGCGGCTCCTCTGCTCCGCCCCCCTGCCTACTCTTCATTGCAGGCTGGGAGCCATACCCAGCCTGCTATTGGATATTGTAAAATAGCTGGGTATTTGCACCCGCCCACTGTCTGCTGTCAAAAACTTTTTTTGCTGTGTCATTTTAAATAAAAACATTTTTTAACTATATTATAATCTTCTGAACAACAGGAACAGACAAAAAAAAGAACCATGACCCTTCCCTACGCTATCCAAAACTAAAAAAATAATTTTTGGCAGGAGTTGCACTTAAAAAATGTACCTGTTCCAACTTACATACAAATTCAACTTAAGTACAAACCTGAAGTCCCTAACTTGTATGTAACCCGGGGACTGCCTATATAGTATATATGTATGCCTCGTATAAACCCCATATTTGTATATATTGGTATAATTTATACTTAGGGGAAGAGGCAAGGAAGAAAGTGTATGCATGATCCCTTGGAGGGTAGCTAATTTGGAATGGTGTTAGTACATAGTGGAGCAGGAGGAACAAAGAGTACCAGAGAGCTCATTGCAACAATGTCACATCTATACACATCTGTACAGCTTTTGTTTTCTAATATCAGGCTTTTTTTCTTTCATTTTCACCTGCTGTTTCTGCCAGTAACCTACTTTCTTTTTTACAACACTTCCTACCTGTAATCTATCTATGGAGGAGCAGCCTTGTAACCCTTGGCTGTTCTCCTGCAATATATACTAGAGGTGCACTGAAATTTAATTTTTAAATCCGAAACATAACCGAAAATAAAAAAAATGTCAGGCCAAAACCAAACAAAACAAAAAAAGTTCTGCTAACCTTTTCAAATATTTTATTTTTATTTATTTTTTCATAAACTTTTTACTTTTTTATATTTTATAATTTTTTTATTTTTGTTGAATATTTTTATTTTTTGACTATACAGTTAGAGGCTACGGGGAAATAAACAGATCCCTGATATTTTCCTTTTAAAATAGAAAAAGAGGTTAAGGACACAGAGCCTTCCATCTCTTTCTGTATCCCCTGTTATAAATGAACAGGAATCCCCTATACTGAGTGTTCTTGTTCATTCATAACTTATGGATATAATATGTTTACCATGTCCACAAACAAATGAACAGTAGGTGATATAGATCACTTCCCATTCATTGATAATTGGGGACACAGTAAACATACTATGTCCTCAATTGTTTACAATTATTTTATGTACCTGCTCTCCATCCTGACTCGCTGTCACAGGAGGCTGAGTGAGCGGTGGAGGGAGGAGAGCTCGGTGACAGCTGACTCCTTCCCCGCCCCTACACCGCTCTCCTGATCTGTCACAGAAGGCTGCGGGAGGAGAGCCTGGCCTCTTTTGACACGCCGGCTGCTCACATCACTCTCCTCCCCCACACCGCTCAGCCTCCTGTGACTATTTCTCTCCTCAACGCTGGACGCTACGCTGTGTCAGAGGGGGCACAGAGCAGTGCCCAGCGGGGAGAAGAGAAACCAGGCATGCACCGCAATTTCGGCTGAAAGATGGCACTTTGCCAAAAGTGCCATTTTCGGCCAATATGTTTCGGTGGCTAACATTTCAGTGCATTACTACTATATACACCTCCCAATCGCCTCATATCTATAATGTAGGAAGGTGTTTCGTAGCTCACAGAAGAAAACTGGGAAGACTGATAACATTGTTTAGATGGCAGGTTCAACAGTTATTTTTTGTCCTTGCAAAAAAATGTACTTTGCCTAAAAAAGAAAATGTATGTAGCCACCACATTTTAAGGGCTGGAAAGCTGCAGTTCATTACATATTTGTTCTTAGGTTTAGACATACTTTAAATTCTACACATGTAACATTAAAATTGTATTATACTTTTTGATTAAATACAGTTGCTAGCAAACATGATTTTTGTTTCTGCTGTAGTTAATGAAATACCTACTTTCTGTAAATGCTGCGTTTGGGGCCCAACATGTTACTACTGAAAAAAGGCGTATAGGATCCCCATGTCCAGTAAGCTCTGTTCCAGTTACTGTGAAACAAAGGATAATAATAAAGTACTTTAGTAATACATATATAAATTTACTGGCTTAATTTTACTAATAAAGAAAGTCACTCTCAGACTGAGCAATAGTACATTTTAAAGCTTCTCTGCAATTTCACTGCTGACAATTCTGTTCCAACATGTGCGCTCAGCAAGTGGTAAATTTACGTTTTGCTGTGTCAGCTTGTTCTTTCCAGTGGCAAGAATCTCATAATTGTTTTTTTTTTCCTTTTATAGGGGTGCATCAGCGTGAGATACAACATTATGGTGAAGTTATATATTTTATCAATATAATTACTTATCTCTATTTTTTTCTTTAAGCAAACCACATGGATCAGTAAATGTAATTTGTGAAATTTCACAATATAGAAAAAGACAAAATGAACAGAAAATACTGTATATTAATAAAGTATAATTATAGTCTCTGGGGTTTTTTGCAAATATCTACTGCTAGCAAGCAATAGATATATGCTAAAAAATAAAATAAAAAAAGTTACCAAAAAGGTAATTACTTACCTGTTTCTCCGCCGCTCACTCTCGTCTGAAGATCTGAAGATTCTCGAGCGGCCTTGAAGGATCATGGGGCGGGCGTATGCGCAGTAGAGATCTTTGGCCAGGAGAAGAGAATAGACACAGTGTAAGTCAATGCACGCAGCCGGCAGCGTGCACATGAACAGACACTGTGGGACACAGAAGACACAGCAGTCAGCGCTGGATCAGAGACCGGCTCCAGTGCTGAAGGGACTACTGAAAACAAGTGGAAGGAAGAAGATGATCAGCTCAAGAGGCATCATTTAAGGTAAGTCCTTAAAGCAGCATGAGGGACGATGACTGTGACCTTAATGTCACTTTAATAATTACATATTATTCATATGCACAAAGCTAGTAAAAATCATGTTTAAAATGTTTTCTCAAAAGTTTTATGACAGTCCAAATCTTTTTATAATGTGAGGGCGTTTGGTCTTCATCTTTTCATGATGTCTGCAGGGATTAAAAAATACACCTGGAGCGAAGGATGAGACAGGCTTGAGGGAGCAGTGTAGGAGCCAGCCAGGATTGTTATTTTACCTCCTAAGACAAAAGAGCACTTAACCCTTGTAGTGTGGTGGTAGCCCCACTGTAAGGTTTAAGACTTTGTCATATGATCATAATAAGGATTCCTCATGCCAAAATCACTGTTGTGCCTCAGCTTAAAGGTTTAAATGCCAGTCTGTTTAGAGTTTTAAGCTCCCTATGGCGGTGGGTCTCCACTGGGTGCTGGTTTCCTACCATAATGTCAAAACATACTGGAAAGTTACCCGACGACTAGACTGGTTGTACAGTGTTCATCTTTGTGCTTGTGTAAGTGCAGTAATGAACAGGATTGAGTGAATCGATTTACCTCAACTGGAATTTGCCCTGGGCTGGGCTGTTCCACAGTAAACCTGTGTACCTGAAGACCACCAGTTACCAGGTCACCTGCAGGCTGCCATCCAGGAGCTTGGCACTCCAACTGCACTGCTGACTAGAGCTCAGCAGTAAAATGAACTCACTGGGGACTTCACTTTTATTTAGTGGAGAAGGTACTGAGCAATTTGAGGTAGGATTCCTTCCCCCGTGCCATCACTACCCTAATTTGGAAGTACTGTATGTCCTTTTTAAGGGTACCTTAAGAACAATCCTTTCTTACTAAGACAGTGATGGAAATCCAGCCCCATAATTCTCTGGGCAACTAGGCAGTAAACAAAAGTGGGTTTTGATTGCGGTCCTGTACAATGCTGATCAAAGTTTTTTGAAGGGTGGGCAGACAACAATCAGAGACAGAATGCAGACTCACAACTGAACTAGTAAAATGTTTGTGGGCAGACAGCATTTATCAACTTGGCAAAGAGAATCTCTGCCTTTGCCTGGCCAAGTCACCAGTAAAGTAGTTTTTCTACGATTTGGTCATTACTGGCAGAGACCTAAGACCAGACTGATGTGTGTGGTTCTATATGCCTTTTTAAAACTGCAGCTTATTATGTCTGTGCTGTATGACATCGTTGCTTTTTAAATTAGGTAGCGAGTGTTCCCAATGTATTTTTGTACCTGCTGGAGAACACAGGAGTGAAACATTAATAGTGATGGAGGAAAAAAACTGACCATAACTTATTCAATTAACGCGCTCTAAAAAAACATGTGTGGGTATTTGAAGAGGCAAAGATAAACAGTTTTATTGACATACACCTTTTTCCCCACATCTAAAATTGTCAAACAGTATAAAAAAGTGGGATCCCTATTTTATCAAGGATAACAGTGGCTTTACATTTAAAAAAAAAAAATATTACATATGCTATTTCCCCCACCTCCCTAAAGACTTCCAGACAGAGATATTTCAATGCAATCCAATCTAGGTTTATAACAACACATTGGTTCAATATCCATTTTTCTGCTAAATAACAGAGCTTAACCGAAAAAAATATATATCTAATAGAAATCAAATGAATATATGTCAACTCTTTTGCAAAATTATGACTAGGATACATTATGTTCCTGTTATAGGAGGGAAACTGCTTATTACTTTGCCATTTTAGTGTTTACTTTGATCGTCAGCCTTCTTTACCCCTTTCGTTCCGTCTCAGTGTTGTGGAGTGTGTGTTATGGAAATGAGCTCAAAGTTCCTAGAGATCAGTCAAGATGAAATACCAAGTAGTGGACTTTTATTTGCTGTTTAGCAGTCACCAGATTTCTATGACAGGAATTACAATATGCAGGGCTGAGCTGTCAGAACAAAAGATCCATCCCCAAAGCACTCAGAAAGGAAGATGCAATATAAGAAAAGATTGTTCAGGAAGAGATTAATAAAAATACAAGCAATTTAATATTCATTTCTTCATACCGCTGAGGGCTGTCTTGCTTAAAACTACCAATAAACTATTAAATCAATGAAAAATGGTCAACCCCAAGCACATTAAGATTTTTTTTTTCTCTGTCAGTAAGGAACCATGTTAGTTATTTGCCATCTATGTTTTATAATATACAAATGTTTTGTATTTTAGTTATACATTATCTATACTAAACATTGTACTTTCTCTAGAGTGCTATTTATGTTGAAGGTTTACAAACTAAAACTGCTGAGCGATTAAAACCGCCAAGGGTTTAGGTTGAGACCTTTGCTTTGTTTATGCTTTAAAAAGTCTAGCTTGCAAAGTTTTCCATTAAAAGCAATACAAGATTTTTTTTATAATTCTGGAAGAACAATGCAAACAAATAAATTAGACTGTGTTTAACAGCACAGTATACTTGAATGTTACTGCTAACAGGGATTTTTCAACAACCACATCATTAAGCTATGAATATCAGTGAAATGAAATGAACCCAGATAAACTGGAGGACCACTACATAAATCGAATAGCACTCTAGAATTGGACACTCCTTGACTGAATTGGCTAATAAAGTGCTGCAAACCAAACAGGTCAGTGAGAGGGTCTCACTTGATGAGTGTTGCTTCTTGCTGTACTAGAAAGCTAGAATGCTGCTTGAGTATTCAAATGTGCATTTTGACACCAACCAGAACATTCCTCCAATGAGGCAACCAGAGAACCATATTCCACCTATTACCCCACTATTAGCTGCCCGCTTTTAACATGCCTGCTTCTTATTTTAGAGAAGGCGTAGGCAAACTCTGGCTCCCAAGCTGTGGTGCAGCTACAAATCCCATTAGGCATTGCAAGCCCCTGACAATGGACCTAGAGTTTGCCTGCCCCTGTTTTAGCGACACTCAGTGACATTCTACTCTGTGATGTTAGCCTGAATTAAGTTCTTTTGGGATTTGTGGTTCTGTTCATCTTATTTAATGAAGCTGACCCGTATGCCAGACAGAGCAGTTACATCCATGACTTCCACAGCAGCAGCAGCATGGCTTGGTCAAAAACACACCTCCAGCTTGAGGGCTTGTTCACACGATGTCCGCATTCTGTCCGGACCAGAACCGTGCGCTCCTGCACCCAAAATGCATCCCAATGTCTCCCTATGTATTTTATGGGCAGTTCTCACCAGCGCAGTCCGTTCCGGAAAGAAAAAATACTGCATGTCACATTTTCTCTGGTCCGGTAACGGACCGGAAACGCACAAACACGTCAAAAACGCTACGAAAACACGCCGAAAGCGCACTGCACTGCAGCTAACATACTG